CACTGTTCCATCTCGCGTTTGCTCTCTGTCCCAATCCCACTATTTCGTGAGAATCTCCTGGTTGTGTTAAAGAGTGAACTCGCCTGAGAAGCATTTGAACACGCGAGGAACGGGATTCTGCTGCTACTGGGCGATATCGCATCGTCCAGCCATCGCCTTCGTGTCTGTCTATGACATTTCTCTTCGTGCCTCCAGGTCGAGGATCCCTCTATCTCTGTCTCCCTTTTGTCTCCTAGAAGCAGATGACATTTCTATCTATTCTCCCTTGTACGCACAAACTCATATATGTCATGTGCGTTCTCTCGATGCGATGCTCCATCATTCCCGGCCTTCAATAAATCGAGTCTCCTCCAACGCTCCCGAGCCTCGAACAATAACAAGAACAACAACCTCATCAGCCTCCCCAACGTCACCTACAACCATAGACATGGTATCTCACCCAGACGCTCCCGCCTCCGTCGCCTCCTCCTCACGCGTCTCGCACTCTCAGCGCCGTCACCATAGCCATTCTTACTCCCACCACAATCATTCCCGCTCCGGTCGCCTCCACCATGGAGGTTCCACTCACCAACCTCTCAACCAATTCCCCATTTTCGCTGCAACGGGAGACGTCGAGATCGTCATCCGTGCGTCAACTCAAGAAAAGCGTTATTTACTTCATAGGCTGATCCTAGCACGCTGTTCGGGATTTTTTGATGCAGGCACGAGTGAAGAGTGGTCGCGGTCCCAGGCGTTGAGGGAGGCGCAGATGTTGGAGGGGGTTGGAAATGCTGCCAATACTGCTGCTATTACGAATGGGATTGAGAATGGGAATTCTACTACGGAACACGGGCTAGCGATTATTACTGATGAGGATGCTGCCGGGGCAGGGGCCGGGGAAGAACTTGTTGCACATCACCGTCGTGCATCGTCGGCTCGTACAAAGACTCGGTGGAGGTATGAATTGGATTGGGTCAACAGGGAGGAAGATGAGATGCCGATTCTTGTGCAGAAGGTGAGATGACAATTTTGTTTATGTGGAAAATACATGCGAATACGCACGCCTGTGTATACTGATGTCTCCGCAGCCCGCATCCCAAAACAACTCCATATTCGGCGGAAGCTATCGCCCACCCAAGCCCCCGCCCGCCCGTACGAAACCTCCCCCTCCCCAACAGGGCTTCTTCCGTTCCATCACAAGCCTCACCGGAATCCAATCCGCTCTCCACCTTCCAAGCACTGCCACATCAACTGCGGCAACAAAACCTGCCATCGAAGACGGCCCCCTTGACCCAACCATCCGAGACTATGACAACCTTTTCCGCATTTTCTATAACTACCCCCCACAACTCAACGCCATAAACATCGCTTCCGCCTACTCAGAATGTAAATCTCTTCTAAACCTCGCAGACATGTATGACGCGCTCCCTGTTGTCGGACCCCGTGTCGACCATCACCTCCTGCGCTTTTCATCCCGTCTCTATAAACAAATCGCAAAGTACCCCCCCAGCTACCTACGACTAGGTTACCTGGCACGAAGCCACGTAATATTCGCAGAGGCCCTAATCCACGTTGTGGGCCAATGGCCCGCAGCGCTACCGCATTTGGGCCAGGGGTCATACTCACCCCTACCCGATCCCGTGCTAGATCTCATCGAGGATAAGGTCGAGGACATGGAGGAGTTGAAAGCGCGCGTTGAGGGGAAGTTGTTCCGATTATCGCTGACGACGTCCAGAGGAGAGCGGGTTAGCCCTTCCAATGCATATCTGGATTGGCTTGCGGTATCACTTTTTCGGCAGTGGCTAGTGGAGAATACAACGCCGCCCCCGGCGGGGATTTTGAAGACACTGCCGTCGCAGTCGCAATCCCGGGGAGGAGGGGGAGGAGGAAGGAGGAGGTGGTGGTGGTGGTGGTGATGGAGGGAGTAGCAACTATAATAATAATAATGGTTCTGTCGCGACGAACAATGACTACGGCAATACTACCGCCATCGCAGCGTCGAGTTCCAATAATAACAGCAATTCTACACAGACAACTACAACCACCACCACCACCACCACCACCCACCATGACCATGGCCAGCGCGGGCGCTGCTAATAATAAACACTATAACCAAATCTCAAACCCTTCCCCTTACTCTCCCGGCCGTACATACCGCCTCATCGGCTCCCCTTCAAACCAAGCCTACCTCCCGCACGACGAATTAAAGAGATTTCTCAAGCAGTCACATACACACTCGCATGACTCCCTTTACTCGCGCGAGAATCTGAAGAGGTTCGAGCGCAAGATGGACGAGATTAAGCGGTTGGCGAGGGAAATTGTGAAGCCTCTCATGCGGCATTTTCTGGAGTTGGACTTGAGGAGTTTGAGCGGCAGCGGTGGCGGTGGCTTGAGTGCCGGAACAGACGATGCTGGAGGAGGCGTGTTGTTGCCGTATCTGACATGTACTAGAGTTGAGGAGGGGGACTATCCGTGGGACTGAGTGATGTGTATTACTTTGCTTTGGCAGAATCCCTGTTGGGAAGGGCTTAGTTGGGTTGAAGTGAGGTGGGTAAGGTGAGAGTGGGAGTGAGGGTGAGGGTGAGGGTGTATATTTCTATGCATAATGTTGCACGTTTACTATATTTTTCTCCTTGTCTCTTATTCTAACCTATTATTCTTTTAACTTTTAAAGGTTTCTTTACTATCCCTCATGTGGACGATATTACCCTCAACTTTTGTTTCCCTTCTTATTTCTGCATCGTTTCTCTCTTGGACAGAGATTGAGTCTCAACATTTTTCCTCTTCATTCCCCCCCTCCCCCCCCCCCCCTCTTTGTTATTCTTTTGTGTCATATCTAATTTCATGTGCTTTCACCCCCTCAACCTGCCCACGAAACGAATTATATGATATATCCTCCCCCTTTTTCCCCCCTTCTCTTCTCATGCCTCTGCAAATATACCTCTTCCTGCCTTTTTATCATTTCCCTTTTATTTTTTTCCTTCATGATGACTGAAACGCGGCGTAAATGACTATTTCTTCTCTTCCTTTCGTTTTTTACATTTTCGCTTTATATATGCACATGATGACCTCATAATACAGCAGGGAGATTGATAGTGAACTTGAAATACCTCGGTATATATATATATATATATATATTTATTTATATATACCTGGGCAGTTAATTATGCAGTTGATCAGTTACGCAGCATTAATGGATGGGTATATGGATGGATCTAGGTGCATTGGAAGGCGGCAACGGAAATACAGGGAGGATCGCGGGTGGAATGTAAAATATCAACGTGGCTATATGTTGTATTTATGCTAACTCCTCATGCACTGCACTGTAGTTCCATCCCCAAGTTCGCTAGGGGCTAGGGGAGAAGATGAAATGCATCTTTCTATAATTCTGTCGTATATTTTTGAGAGTATCATGATTTTTGTACACTTCCAAAAATGTTATTATATATATATATACATTTGTGTATCAGAACTAAAAAAAAAAAAAATAAATAAATAAATAAATAAAAAACAGCTGTCCACCATTCAACGTAACTTGCACATATCGTACAAATTCAAAAATCCAAAATCTCCTCACCTGTCACTTCCGAATAACTCCAACCTCCAATTGACTATCATCCTTGGCCCCCAATAACCCCTTTACCCCCCATCCACCCCTTCAAAACGTCCGGCAACACCACAACCCCCCTGTTCTCATCCCATCCGTGCTCCAACAACGCCGCAATAATCCTCGGGACAGCCATTGCTGTTCCATTCACCGTATGCGGGAACTTTCCGGCACCGCCAGCCATATCAGATTTAAGCCTCGTCCCTAGCCGTCTCGTTTGGTAATCTGTGCAGTTGGAGGCGGAGGTAACCTCGCCCCAGCCCGATTCCACGCTGATGTCCTTAGCTATGGTGGCATTGCTGGTGTTAAGTCCTTCGTGGGGGGAAGGCGACGCCATTCTGGAAGGAAACAGGACTTCTATATCACGCTTGCGAGCGGCGCTGGCTCCGAGATCATGCGCGGGCATCTCCAGGACGCGACAGGGCAGGTTGAGCGCGGTGAGGATTTCGGTCTGCAGCGCGAGGATTTCGTCGAAGAGGGTTGTCGCTGTTACCGTCCCAGCCCAGCGTTAGCGCAGAAAGTGTCGGTACCCGTTATCACAGCACCAGCACCAGCACCAGCACCAGCACCAGCACCAGCAGGGATCCGGCATCGCCCACCCCAAATAACTCCACCTTCGTAAACTCATGAACACGATACAACCCTCGCGTATCCGCCCCCTCGCGCGCCTGCCTCGGCTCTATAACACCGGCTGACCCCCACCATCCTCACGGGTAACTGGTTCCCCTTCCCCCCCATCTCCTGCCCCGCAAATATCGCCGCAAGCGGAATCTCCGCTGTACCCGCTAGACACCGCGCGGGCCTGCCACGCGCTACATCTCTCTCACTCTGCTCAATATGATATATTTGCTGTTCGTTATGCGCATCGCGTGGTTGGAAGCCACATGCATGGGTGATGTGCGAGTAGACGAGGGAGGGTGGGGAGACCGCTTGCCAACCCCGCCGAATGGCGACGTTGAGCGCGTACTGGATTAGGGCTTGTTCGAGCAGGGCAGCTTCGTTGGTTAAGTAGTACCAGCCCCAGCCGCTGGCAAGGGAGGCGCTGGTGAAGTTTAGGAGATTGAGGGTTCTGCCGATTGTGATATGGGAGGTGGTGTGGGTGGGTAAGTTTGCGGGTTTGTCCGGGTCGTAGTTTATGTAGTTTACGATGCGAGGTTCGGCGCCTGGTGGTGTTTCGGTGCTGGTAAGGTTTGGGAGGGAGAGGGCGAGACGTTCGATTTCTTTGGTGTGGGATGCACGGGTTGTTGTTAAGTGGTGGGATTTGTCCTTTAGATGTTGTGCGGAAAGTCGGAGAGCGGAAAGTTCTTCTTTCGTTTTTGTTTCTTGATTCTGTTGATCTCTTGGATCTGCATTGTGTGGGTCTGAGGAATTGGCCATGAGCTGTGCAATGGCGGACTCTATCTGTTTTATCTTGCGCTGCGGTTCCCGCAGGGCGTCTTGAAGTTCGCGGGACTCGGTGGAGAGGCTTTGGATCTCGTACGGGTACCGGGACAGGTCATGGTAATTGCGGGCAATGCAGTTTTCGGAGTAGAGAGGGGCATTTTCGCGGATGTGCTTGATGTCAGGTGTAGGTTTTGGTGCTGTAGGTGGGCGGGATGATGTGTTAGCTCCTGCGGATGACAAGTTGCGACAGGAGCTAGAGAAAGAACGCCGGAGTAGTGATGGGGTGGTGAGAGTTCGTCGGGTATGGAACCTGCAGCTGGGATATACGCAGGGATTCCTCAGCACAGCCATTTGAGGTGGTGGCATGGTGCGAAGAGCGAGGTGGATGTTATTGAAGATATCGAAAATGGAAGGTTTTGCGAGCCGCGCTACGGTTGGCCGATTTAAGCGCCTTCGGTGGGGCCGCGGGACCAACCGAACCACAAGTAAGGTCCTCGGGCGCCAATAGCCGCGCTATAACCACGTTCCAGGCTCTTTATCCCCGAGCAATGGGTAAACATTTGAGGCTTCTGGTCCTGGTGGGTGCTAGAACTCGTCACTGCTGCTCAATCGACTTGCAGAGCAACCCAGCCTGACCAGAGTACGAGTATATACGTTACTTTACCCAATCTACTACGATGGTACAGCTCCGAGCGCACGAAACGAAATAATGGTGCCACCATTCATAGAACGTGCAATGAGTCTATCAAATTAAGTACTAGTACTATTAAAAAGCCATTGGCATCGTTATGTCTGTCCTCCTTGTAAACAATATCATGTATTCATTCTTTTCCCCTTTGAAGCAACTTGCCTCATCCCCATCTTCGCCGAGGCTATGATGAAAAGTCCCTGAATGACATGGTCCCCACGCCTTTTTGTTCGCAGGGCTCTGTCGCCGCCATATACATCTCTTATCAGCAGAGCCTTTCATATTCGGGAGTATAGCCCGCGAGCCGTCTGCTTTCCCGCCTTGGGCTACATAGCCCTTGTTCCCGCCTGCTACGCCGGGTGTCGCTCTTGTTCCCTCGTGCGCTTATTGTAGCTCTAGCCCCTCGAGACACATCGAACATATTCCCCCCCGCTCTTTGAGGTTGCGGGAGCAATGTCCGTTTTGACGCTGGCGTCATACCCCCAGACTCGCGCCCATCGGCATAGAGCGGTCCCGGCCCTTCGCTGCCCGAAAAATAAGAACCGCTGGTGACGCTTGTGTCTTTGCCCTCCTGGGTCTGGAGCTGCCAGAAAAATGTTGTCCCTGTATTATCTGTCCATTTCAGCTTTAGCGTCGTCACCGGCTTTTCCTTCCCCCCTTTGTGTCCCTCGACTTCATGTGGGCGTTTCACGACAGCTCCGATGGAATTTCCAAGGTTAACGTTGGCTCCTTGGTACTGGCGTTTTCGGGTATCGTATGGCTTGGGGATCTGTGTGTTTGACTCGTCGCCCGTGGCGACGAGGTGCCTAATACTGATATTGCAATGCTTGGACCCCTTGTCGGACAACGAGGTAGCATCGCGCCCAGAGTCGGCGGCTGATAATGCATTCCAAGCTCCAGGATTTGATGAACTATCGGCAAGCTGTGGCCTACCATCATCGCTCATACTCTTTCTCTTCTCATCTGGTTTGCTTCCCTCTTTCTCTCGCTCTATTTTGCGCAAAGATTCCTGGCGTTGCTTATCACAGGCCCTTTCGGAATGTACAGGGTCACAAGCTGCGTATCGTCCGTAAAAACCACTTTTTACTTCCGCAGTCCATGGCTCACCTCGGGATTTGTTGCTTTCGCCAACCCCAAAGTCAGCATCCAAGGATTGGCGGCTATCACGACTCCCGCTGACGTTTGTCATGGCTGGAAGCTGAATGTTTGAGGCCAAATACGTTTGGTGTGTAGTTGGGATCATTGGAAAGAAAAATCAACAGAGGCAACACACTTTCTGGACGGCTTGCTCGTGATTTTGGTAGAACAGAACAGAACAGAACAGATGGACAGGGCGGCAGCGATGGTGGAATTTATGAAAATATTATTATTCCAGCATGTCCATACCACCTAAGCTGGAGGATTTGAAGCTCGAATGAGGGAAGCTTAGCCTTCAGGCTCATTATCAACGGTTACCCCACTGGGTATATATATATATCTCTGACAGCCATACCAGAGGGAGCGGAAGGGGTTGGTGGCTTATCATAGCCTCATGGTGGGGGATCTCCCAACCAGCCGTTTGCTTTGCTTGCGGCTGCTGTTATCAGCGTCTCCAAGGGTAAGGAAAGATCCGCCGCCATAAACTTGTAGGCGAACCCTGGATTTCTTGAGGTTGGTGGGGCTGGGTGGGCATGAATCAAGCAAACGCACAGAAGGCGGCAATGATGGCACTTTTCAATATCATATGCCAAGGAGGGTGGGAATGGCGGCAGGCATGTTATAAAGTGGTAGGTTATTGCAGGTATTGAACATTGACGGCAAAGGCCGTGGATGTGGTAGATCAGAAGCATTGGGTGGTTGAGGAGGAATCACGACTGGATGGAGCCGGTTTCCTTTTACCAATGAGAACAGCAACGGCGGGCACCGCTACAGGAGCCAAATAGGATTCCGTTGTGTTTCCACCGTTTGAAAGGGGTTTTCGATTTCTTTATCTTTTCCCCCCTCAATTCCCTGCATCGGTAGCTATAAAGACGATTTGGTTTGGGGGTTTTAATTCATGCAACTTTTCATGGTTTTCCATCGACGACCTGATAAATCTCCAGCAAAAAAAAATGAAAATAAAATATGTTATATCAAACAAAATTCCCGGATTACAGGCAGCTAACTGTCTAGTAATGAGAAGCTACATCCTAGGTAGTCCCAAGAGAATACCAAGAGCATACCAAGAACATACATACGCGCAGAGCGACACCGAAAAGGGCCCCCCCCCGCGCCGGGAGCCAACGGGAAGGGCACACAGATCAAGCATGAAATATCGAGAAATGGCCATCGTTTGAGAGCCACATTAAAATCCTCACGGGTTCGCAGCGGTTTTCAATTTCATAAAAAATCGAATAATCCAATCAATGGAAGCAATATTCCAAAAGCCAAAATATAAATCAGAGGTTAATATCCCCTTCGTTCTCACCCACCATCCATACTATAACATCCCCCTGGCCCCCTCCCCCACAGTCCTGAATCTTTCAAACTAAAAGATCTTCATTTTCTGCCTCTTGATCCTCGCGCCCACGCCTCCCAGGACCAGAACAGAGGCCACCAACACCGCCCAGAGCTGAATATGCAGCGTGCTCTTATTATAATCCGTCTGCGTTGCGGCCGCGACAGTCGCCAACTCCAGCATGAACACTACATATCCGCTGACGCGGTGATACTTGTAGATCTTCTTGCCATTGTCTACGCTGGCGAATATGATGACGGGGAAGAAATACTGCGCGACGCCCACGGCGGCCTGCAGGAAGATCACGATATAAGTGACGAGGCCCATGATGCCGAGCATCGAGTGCAACTCGTCTTCTGGGTGGGGGGCTTTGTTTATCTCGATGAT